ATTTCAATCACTTTTTTCAAAAACATGTCTGAATAGTGGAAAATGCAATTTATTGTTCCAAATCGTGTTGTTCAGGGAAATACAGGAAATTGAATTGGACAAACACATTCGACTTATCGATTCTCCCGGAGTGGTTCTACTAAGCGCAAAAGATCTTGATCCTGTTGAGGTAGTTTTTAGTGTTCTTCTTTGGTTTTTCTGAATCTGGATTAAGCAGGTTGATGAGTAATGTTTTAGGTAGCCCTTAGAAATGCGATTCGTGTGGATAATTTAATGGATCCCATTGCTCCTGTGATCGCAATTTTGAGAAGATGCTCGAAACAAACGGTAGGTAACCAATCGTCATATTTTCATTGGTATTCTCAACTGATCTATGTGTATTTAGCTGATGTTGCACTATTCGATTCCGGAATTCAATTCTACGGAACAATTTCTCGCTCTGGTAGCTCGAAAATTGGGTCGACTCAAGAAAGGAGCCAGGCCAGACACGAATGCTGCTGCAAAGCATGTGAGAGCATTATCTTTGTTTGTATTTGGTTTAGCTGAGGTGGCTTTAGTAGAACATAAATTAATATATAATATAACTTATTCACTCAGCCAGGTCCATCACATAGTTTGTACATTTGTTGAGGTAGCAGAATTGTGTCTCGAAAATTCATATTTTCGTTTCCTAAAGCCCTTTTGACTATATGTTCTTCAAGTCAGCATAGAAGTTTAGAAGTTTCTTCGGGAACTTTTTAACTAGTTCTGAAATTCATGAAGTTCGATACAATATCCACACTTTATGTCATTGTCAGGGAATGTTGCTCTGAGCTTTTGGCTCAGCATAGTTGGGTTCCGTTATCTAGTAAGTGGCATTCAAAATTCTTTGTAATAGTTGCCATACACTTCATGAGTACGCCAGAGGTTTTCAGCCCAGTCTCATTTCAAAACCGTTTAGATTTGGTCGTTTTAAGGTGCTGCATGAATGGAACAGCGGAAAGCTGCGTTATTACACTCTTCCACCAGAAGACACAGCCTCCGCATCTGCTCCTGAAACCGGTGTATCAGCTGAGATTGTTAGCCAATTCAGCAAGGAGTTCGATATTGATGGCCTTGATGATGACTTGAAACAACTGGTTGAAGGTAGGTTTCTGTATTTTTTTTTGAATTGTGCTTACCATTAGCTAAGTTCGCGTAGCTCTGCAGTTAGTTTTTTTTATTCCCCATGTAAGGTTCGATTCTGAACCTTTAAAGTGGCAGGAGGTTGTAGGATAGTGCCAACATTCGATATCTTTTTTTTAATTACTATGACCTAGGTTTAAGTTTCGTAGATGTAGTTCTTTCCAGTCCTTGAATGCTTCCTTTTTCTTGAAACTTTTCGCAGAAGAAGGGATCGTTTTGGGGTTTTTGTTGAGGGGACCGTATTTAGGTTTGACGGCGAATGAGTAGCTAAGTTAGGAAGGGATTCTTTTGGGAGGGAGATCGTTTTTAAAGTTTATTCACAACATTGTCCCGTTGTGTCATATCGACCTTCCCCCCTCACTCCCTCCTGGGGAGGGGGAGGAGAGAGTCATAAAAATTTTTGACGAGGGTAGACCCTCTGCTCTAGTGCGTGTATGCTTTATATTACGGTATTGATTTGGTGCAGGAGATCACAGGTTTGTATTTCAGGTTTACCAATGGAGATGGACGCCACCTTTGTTCCCTATAATTCCTCAAATGAAGACGAAGATGATAAAGATTCAGAAATGATTGTTGATCAAGAAAGTGAGTGATTCATGGGTTCTGCATGCTACATTGTAACCTTACTTTTTATTCGATCGACAATGATACGATTTTTCTATAGAGATTATAGTAGTACTCTTTCTTCATTTACTGTACTTTTCTATACTTTTATTAATGTCTCAGATTCCTTCCGTTGTCGTTAGTAGTGGTCGTCATAAGAAGACGGATAAAGATCTTGAGAACCCTGTGGCTGAAACGTTGCCCTACCAGCTTAGAGATCGACGGAAACGTTCAGCTGAATCGAGCGATCAAAGAAGGTTCTCAAGAAGAACAAACGGGCTGCGAAGAAACAAGGTTTGTCTTAAGCATTCAGTTCTCTGTGCTTACTATTATCGATTATTCAGTAAAACGTACTGAGAAGTTGGCTGATGCAATGGACATCACTTCCATATAAGACACGTTATGGTTTTCGTCGTTTTGATAAGCCTATTTGTTGTTTTTTTGTTGATTTTTGAAAGTTCTATTTTCTTCCTTATTTGAGGAAAGGTTTTAGTTGGCTTGTTTGTTACGTTGTTTTCGTTCTCTGGCTTATTTGGTCCAGGATAAACATCAAATTATTGTATTATCATCAAGTGATGTGTTCAATTGATGCAAGTTCTAAATAAGTCCTTGTTTTAAAGGGGGAGTTTACGATGAAAAGACAGCTTACTAGGAACCAAGGTAAGAAGGTCATTGGTGCAGGGTGAAGAAAAAACAAGAAAACGGACTAGAACCCAAGAAATTGGACACTTATTTTGCCCGTTGGTTTCCGCATTATTCATGTCTCATCGTTGCTGACCCTATCAATGCTAACGCTTTCTCTTCTGGGCGGCAACGCAGACGGGGAGAGGTGAACAGGCAGCGGCGTGGGCATGGCCCTGCAGGCCACATCGTCCCCCACTGAGACGGTCATTTCAATTATGGCCCAATGAGGTCACGTGGTGGTCAACGTCGTACCCGGCAACCGGTGTTTTGTATGGGCCATGGCTTAACCATCCTTGTCCATAAGTTGGGCGTGGGGTTAGGAACTGATAAGACCGAAGTGCTAGACATCAGTGAGCCAACAAGCGTCACCTTAAGATCTCCGCAGTGATTTAAGCCTCACAGTACAAACTTGTACCATGTAAAGGTTGTCCTTTGAATTTAATTTGACTTCTTTATTAATCAGTTTGCCTGAATTCTCTATCAGGGAGTGATAAGGCTTAATCGGAAAGAATTTTACGTGCTTCTGTGCGGAACCGACACTGGATGTGGGCAGTTTTGGAACTAAAAATGGTGGTACAAAGCAAAACGAGTCTCCACCGTGTGGGACGTATGTGTCCCGCGCTGTCCCCAATGTTCAAAAAACGCTCATGTGGCATTCTTTGGAAGTGTCATCTCAGCCATCGCCGATGCATCTTCAATTGATCGAAGCGGTTACCGTGGACACCTCTATGCTCTTCATGCTAGCTCTACCTTGCCTTGTCATCGTTAGTTAACCCTTTGACGACAATGCGGATTTGCACGTAGCTTGCTCGTGGGACCACGCCTCTTTTTGGCGCGCCCAACTCTCGCTCACAATTGGGCAAAATTGTCCCTCAAAGCAGTTTTTCTATAGAATTTTTGACTTTAACAGTATACCAGATATAACTGCAGTTCTAGGCTTTCATACTGTATATTGTTTTCAAGAGAATTCCAAATTTGGGAACTCGGGTTTTAAAGGGAAGGAGGGCAAAACCTTTAAAGTTTAAGTGTCCAAGAGAATTTTCGACACACTTCCAAACCTCTTCCCGTATCTGAGGGCTATGAGAAGACGAAGAAAGTCCTGATTAGTAATTAATCTTCTGCCTATAATAAGCCAGAACTCGAGTAATATCTGGCGAGCTAAACGCATAAAAAGAAAAAAACAACCATTCTAAAATTCTATATGAATTAGCCCCTATGATGAGCATTTCCGTAAGCCGTGCTAGTCATAGATAGTATGAAACATGCTTATAATTATTGGGGTGTTGAAAATGCTTTAAATGTGCAAAGAAGGAAATTTTAAGGTGGCTCATCCACCATTGGGTGGCATTGTCCCACGCGGCGAATATAGTGGCACCACCGGTGGGTGCCGTTGTTGTCGAAGGGTTAACCTTACTTGACAATAATTTCACCTTCAGGTCGCACGCTATTATCGCAAAGGATGATAAAAATCAGTGTTTTTTATTTCTGCAATTCAGTCTGGTTCTACTTATCCTCACCCCAGAAGTTTACGAATGCATTGCCGACCTATTGGCGTACGCCGTCGATCTCGGATATGTGTGGAGGTAAGCAGCACCATTTGCGCTAACTCCTCTTCCAATCTTAGCCTTTTTCATACTATTAAGGGAAATTATCTTGACGTCAAGCTTTAAACCTGAGAAATAATGTACATACCCAATGTGTATAAATCCTTCATGTTGCCTCACGTATTCGACTTTTGGGATTTCGGGATTGTAGACGCACTCAGCTGCAAAAATAGCTCTTACAATGGTTTGTTGTAGGTGAATTTGATATCTGTGCTGCCAGTGAAGGCTGGCATCATTTTGTAGAGCTGAAAAAGATGGGCTGCCGTCGGTTCGAGCCACAGCACAGCTCACAGTTGCAAAAGGTTCCTGCAGACAATGGCTCTCCCAACAAATGAGTGGTTGTAAGACAACGCTTTGAGATGGTGTTTTTGGTACTACGCGCACCTAACGAACACTGTGATTCGTTTCTCGCCTCTTAATTTTTTCTAGGTGGCAAGCGATTTTGTAGAGCAAGGCGCAGCGCATATATTTCATTTCATATATCCTCTCATTCCCTTTTTCCATCCTCCCTTTTCGGTATCCCCTCTACCCACTACTTGCACCGCCATAATGTGCAAGTCTGGCCCTTTGTTAGCCTGAAGTCGCAACCTTGGGCAGGTTGAAGGGGCCAAAGAATGGAGACCAAAAATCCCAAGCATAGATTGGTTTCCTCCATTTTCCTCTTGACACATTCGCGCAGAAAATTCCATCGACGGATGGGAGAAGCGGGCGGAGGAGTGTGAAGTAAAAAGTTAGGCCAACATTTTCCCCGTTGGATAAACCAATAATCGAATCACAGCCGTCTTGCATAACTTATAAACGGCATTCATCTATTTCGACTCCCTTCCCAAATGTCATGGACCGCTTCCCCCCAGATCGAGGTTTCTCTAGCGGTTTCGCTTAACTGGACGCTCAAACCTCTGAAATTAGAATTTTAAGGTGAGTGTTTATCTTAATGCGCATCTCCTCATTCAACTTTCGGCTCCTCGAAATGTCACACTACTCATCTCGTATCACAAAAACAACATGGTCGAGAGGTGCTAATATGTGCCTAGGAAAAATCAACATTTTTGTTCACCTTGATCATAAAATTTAATCTCAACCTACTCTAAAAATCAGAAATCGATTGCCGAACTTCTCTATGCCGCCTTCTGCGCAAATGGCTACAGAAAATCTAATAATAGCGTACACGCCGCATGGAACTCGTTTCTAGGGGAGAAAAGCTCTAGGGTTTTTGTTCCACTTCGTATAGCATACATTCAAGCCCTTTCACACTATTTAAAGCAACAGTCCAGGCAGGGTTTCAACTACTTGGTCATTAGGCGGTCAAAACATGCCCCAGCCCAACTAAAGTTTATAGGAAATGTCTTTAATTTCAAAACCTACCTCTAAAATGCGCTGGAAGGGGTCGAAGTCCTCTTGGAGGGGGCGGATCACCCATAAAGAGGCGGATCGCCCAACATACGCTGTGCAGAGCGCTTGCTCGACTAGCGGTCGTTGCGGGACCGCCGCGCTGTATGAGGTCGATTCCATAAGAACGCAATTGAAGCGCTTCAATTTCGATTGCTGGCAAATAGTTATGTATTTGCAAGCATGCATGGCTATTTGCCAGCAGTCAACTGGAGCGCATGTACTACGGGCAGGTTCGGACAACTCGTCCAACACACATCTCCCTAAACGGCAGGGGGAGTCCCTGTCTAAGCCCCTGCCCGACGTTTTTTTCTACTTTTTCTTTCTCCATTGACCAACTTCTCACCTGCAACGTCATTATAGGTGGTCCTTACCCGCGAATTCGTTCCTGGATTGTTGCTTTAAAAGCTTATGTCTATTCGTACACGAAGTTCCTGGAGTTCTGCCTATTATTGATTATCAAGAAATTGAGTATTCTACCCATTTCAGGCTTTCATCTTCTCCAGATAAGTGAGCGTATATCAAAGATTTTGCAGTGTTGCTCATTCCTACTGGGACATAAGACCGTCATGAAATTCGGGCGACGCACAACTAGCAAGGCATAGCTTCGGGCTGCTATATTTGACAGCTGCCGCCCACTTTCGGCATACTTTCTATAAACACAAGATCGCCCTCTGAATCGTAGAAGCTACAACGCTCACCAATAGTTCGTGACGGGTGACTGACCTTCGACACAGTAATGTACTGGGATCGTGAACCATAGCACAATAGCAACAAAGGTTAAAGCCGTTGACGTAAATCGAACTCTTTCTGGAATACGCCAAGTATTCTCTACCCATTCAGAACCTTGGTGATATTTTGAATGCGGATTGGTCTTTTCAGAGATCTGCGGAGGCCAGCCGATGTACATGTCAGTGTTCAGCCAGTCACAGCCAAGATCTGAGCCCCGCATCGTGCATGTGGTAATCAGCGCCGCTTGCTAATCAACTTCTGTCCATAGCCGTGCTATGGCATAAGTCATTTGACGTTTTAAAGTCATACACAGTGAGAGAGGCCCTTACAGTAAGAAGCTATCTGTCAGTGGCTCAATGAGGAAATTACGCAGCTGTTTGTAGCAATTACGGTAAGCGTGCTCGAGCTCGGGATGAATTCATCTCTTTGATAACGATGGAGACACGCGACGAGAAGTTGTTCTGTTTAATTCAGGGATGTTACCCCGTTTAATTGCCGCGGAAGCGCTACTAATGTGTCCCATGAGCACAGTGCCTTTTTTGGTCTGTCTTATGTTTGGCGTGCTGCCATAAGAACCCACTTTTCTTGAAAGGCCAACAACAGCAATTTTTGCCTAAAATGAACAATTTTAAAAAGACCCGATTGAACTTTGAAGAGGTCATTTGAGTTTCGATTTTACCTTTTCGTAAAGATAATCTCCTCACCATCACCAACAGGGGCCAATAAATACGGTACCAGAGTCATCTGTCACTTGGAAATTCCCAACGAGAGGAGGGAGATCGTATATTCCAAGAGACATGGGAAGAATTGAGAAGCTGGAAATTCTCCTTAGGAAAACTGGAAACCTTCTGAAAATTCTATCGTTCCAACCTTTATATGACGCCCACGTGAATGCGTTGGCGCACTTTCAGGGTTTTGGGGCGGAGCTTCGAAGAGTGCCAAGATGAACCCGTGGTAAGCAAACATGGAGTTTTTGTAGTAACGC